GGGTAGAACGTTTTTGAGTGATCGAGTAAGAAAACATCGAATTCGAAATGAATTGTAATCACTTTTACAGGTTCTTGTCACCGTTCCCCTGACCGTACTTCAACGTGGATGTATAAGATTTTTACCGCCACTTCCTGCAAGCAAAGTGAAGGCGATCAATGCTCTTGGAATCGGAATAATTGAAAAGGTTTCAAAATATTTACATTGGCACGGCTCCTCGTTCTTATGGACACACTCAGATTCCGATGATACTTGAGGACATGTTAAGGCGGTTTGCACAGGATCGACAATTTCGCGTACCTCTCGCCATGCCCCATTGGGAGATGAGTGCAAGCAGTTCCTTCTTATCTATTCAGCTTTATGACTGAAGATTCTTTCTCCGATTTCCATAAGAGGTGTAAAATATGTGTTACTGCTTTAGCGTGGCCGTTTTATTGTCTGACTTTCGAATTAGTGGCTGTCTTCATGGCAAGTGTTCACGACTACCAACTTTGCGATAATTCAGTATGACCCGTGATCCTGGGGTTTTATTGTTTCGTACTCCCAGTGATCACAACGCAATGCTAAGTTTATAAAAGTTTGTTTGCAATGAAGATCTTGATGTTAATTATAGGAGCCCTTTTCTCTTTCTTTCTTTACAAATCGGCTTATCTCTTGAAGGCGCCCGACTGCAGGCAGTTGACTGGTATAAACCATTATATGCTTGACGTTGACGGCTTGGTAACGAATGAATCGATTGAATTGCTTTACTGTGCTGCTGGAAAAGCATGCTCAGCATTCGGCTGTCGTTTGCGTTAGAAAGATATTGTTTACTTGCAGATAATATCAAGAGGTGTTAAAGTTACCGTCATCTTGAACCTTTCATTGGCGGCATAGTGTTGGCTCAAATCTTTATAAGTGATTTTTGTATCGTGCAAGCACTGACTTATTCGAAATAGTGATTATTTTCAGTGATGTACTTCGTCAGGTTGTTCATACTTATATCAAGCCGTTTGACTTAAGACATGATGGCAAATGTTTGTGCACAGTGGCCACCTGCAATGTTTTTCGATAGCCTGCTGTCTTTCATTCGTTCGTAGCGATCTCTACAACTGCCTCAGATGTTGTGTCTCTCAGACACAGTGAAGTGGTCTGTTGCTTAAACTAGTATAAATTGCATGTAGAACTAGCACCCACTTTTTGCCTCTCATACAAAACACTTGTGTGTGGTGTAGCAGTCAAAGTTACAAACGAAAGACGACAGCTGTAAGAACAACGAGATCCATGCATATGATGACTGATTGCTGCTGAGGTGATGGCCTGGAAATATTGGAGTAATCCACTCCAGTAGGTTGGAACGATGGTTACTTACCATTCGCCAGCGATATTTGTTTATGACCAAAACCTCGAAAGGTGTTCCAGTTCTCTGAATCTGTGGCGTTGGATGAATGTTGGGGGAAT